CACAAGGCAATTTAACAAACCACCCACCCCAAGTTGTTACTGTTTCTCAGCTCATCCCGTGACGTCTCTCACAACTCGACAACTAATAAACCGCCCACGTACAAAATAGTAGTAGTATACTATTATGGAATTGGCCGTCTCTATTTAATTTCTCCCAAAGTTTATCCTTTGAACTACATTTTCTTTTTGTTGATTTTTTATATAATTTTTTTTATTTATCACAGGAGCAGCTAAATAAAAATCTCCTTAATGTGTTACGTAGTAGAAAATAACGGTAATTCGGCAAATTTATAAAGACAGAAACCTGGGTGTAAATGTTAACAATTTATCCCTGGCTTTCACATTATGCAAATATGACGACCCTATCAAATCACCACAAAAACAAAAAAGGCAAACAAGATGTGAAGATGACTAGATCAAACCCCAATTATTTTAACTCCAATAATTTTATATAAGTGAGTTTTTTTGAATCTCAAGGAATATACGATTCAGACAATTCAAAATGGTGCTGCGTAATTTTGGAAAAGATTACTTCGATCATCGTGTCATTATCACATTTTTATTATGTTTGAGAAATATTACAAGAACTAGTGTTTTTATATTGATTATTGCATATCAATTAAGGTTAGGACTATTTAATAATTCCTCCGTTTTAAAATTATTGTCTATTTTAGATCTTCATTTTTAGTTCAAATTGTACTAAAATTAAAAATGCAACGAGGATTTGTTACTTTATTCACAGGGAATCCAGCGTGCAAATGACGAACGGGACAAATAATATCCATGGTATTTTAAAATTTCATTTTCAGGCAGAATAATTTAGTAATAAAAATAAGCATAGAGTTGTTGGGGGAGCCCACCTTCAAAAAAAAACCGTCTCTAGAACGGGAAGAACAAGTAGAAGAACCCCACACCTCCAAAACGCAACATTGACCTTTTTTCGCCTTTGTGTATAAATTAAGGGAAAAAAAATTAAAAAAAAAAACTCGAAAACCCTGGAAAAATCTTTCACATCCAAACTTACCTGGTTCCTTCTTCATCGTCATCCCTCTGCCTAAGCTTGCCTAATATAAATACGCCCCTCCCCCCTCAACATCTAAATTCCTCCTTCACAAAAAAAAGAAAAAAAAGAAAAAAAAAATCTCTTTATGTTTAGAGTCATTATTGGTGATAGTATTACAATACGATGAGCAACATTCCTACATCCTTAATAAACTCTTCCTTAACTCTGTTTAAACTTGCCATCTCGGCTTCCGATCCTTGGCCCTTTTCTTCTTCCCTTGTCTTGTTGTAACGTTTTCTGTTTCTTGCTCTGTCCCACACTCTAATTCAATCAACACCTTAAAAAAATCCACAAAACCAAAAATCAGACCAGAAAAATTTCTTCTTTGTAGGTCTTCTTTTTGGTTTTTTTTATTTTTTTTAATGAAGAAGATGGGGAGCGGAGATAAAAATCTTCTTCATCTGGGTCATCTGAATCTGAATTTCCACTTACACGTTCCTCATCTTCACTTTCACCACCATCACCACCACCACCACCATCACGGCGGGAAGAAGGAAGATCTGAGGGATATTCCGAAAGGGTGTTTGGCAATTATGGTTGGGGGAGAAGGGGAGCAGCAGCAGAGGTTTATCATCCCGGTGATTTACTTCAACCATCCACTGTTCATGCAATTGCTCAAAGAAGCAGAGGAAGAATACGGGTTTGATCATCAGGGTCCGATTAATATCCCTTGCCACGTGGAGGAATTCCGTCAGGTTCAAGGCTTGATTGACCAGGACAACGAAAGTTTCCATCATCACCACCACCACCACCATCATCACTCTTGGTGCTTCAAGGCCTGATGAGAAGATGAGCTACTTGAATTTTGATACGAAAAAGGAAGCGTTTTTTTTTTTTTTTTTGGTGGTTTTAGGTTGTTCCGACAAGAAACAGAGGAAAAAAATCAAAGTGTACCTAGTCCGAAGTTAGTTTTAGCCTAGCAATATTTTCCCCTTGTACATAGGTCATATGTCTTTGTTTCCTTGCTGTATTTTTGCATCTTTGAAATTAAGATGTGGATGATGATGATGATGAAAAATTTGTGTAAATTTTTTTTTTTCTTTTCCCGCCTGGAATCTATCCCAATTTGGTGAACTGTATTCATGATTTTGCTTGACTTTTTGGCAAAGTAATTCAATATTTATTTGCGTATAATTTGAGCAACTATCCCTTAATTCTGTATTCATGGCAAAGTAATTCACATTTTTGGCGTATAAATTTGGGAAAATCAGAAATCAAACTAGGGAAATCTTGATGTGGACGTCACACATTAATATTTGCAGATTAGATATCCGAAACCATAAGTGGATCAAAAGGCCGTATTGAATTGGTAGTGTATATTGATGAGGAAAGGGGTTCCTGTTAATTTGTGATGGTGTGAATTCAACAATTAAGGTGACTTGTGAAATGGGGAAAATTGTTGGCGGTTGAAACATGGGGAGGGGGGGCAAGAAATAATAAATAGTATATCTGTGACATAAATGAATGAAAGATGAAAGCTCATTGGTTGGGGTGGGAATGAGCTTGAAGATTTGAAGGTAGAAGGAAGAAGAAGAAGGTTAAAACTAAAAAGATAAGCAAAGTAAATTAAAGGGAGGATGGAATGTCCCTTTTGGGATGAACACAGAAAGCAGCTAACCATGTACACACAACAACAACATAGTCATAGATTAAGTACCACGGAGTACTACTTACCTTGGTGGCGTGAGGAAGGAACCCTTTGGGAGTACCTGTTACCTGTTAGTGGTGGCCCCATCCTTCTCCTTTCTTCTTTCAAATTTTTTTTTTTTTTTTCGGTATAATGATACATAAAGCGAAATATTTACTAGAAAAAATAAAAGAAACTACACTATTTCTTGTAAAAAAATTTTATTATTCTAAAAAGAAACCCTTCAATGATAGCTTGTGTCCACTAACAAATGGCAATGATGTTGCATAACTTTCAATCATTATCATGGAATTCCGATTTCTAATATATAAAAATAAGTGTAGGTGAGTCATGTAATTCTTACGTTTTATAGTAAATAATTTTACAAATGTATAATTTCGTTATTGAATTATTAAAATTTATTATATATTATATCTAAATTTTATTTTGTAACAGAGTAAATGGAAGGAAATTCAGGTGGTTTTGTTTATGGTGTGTTAAAACAAATCCATATGGTAAACTTAAAAATCGAATTTTGTCGCTCGCTCATACTAATCCGCTACTAAATTAGGACCGTTTATAAGACGACGTGGTTTGAGGAGGATCTCACGTGGGGAAAATCCCACTTCAAAAAAGGAAAAATCTTGAAGAAGAAAGTCTGGGATTGTCAATGATTACTACTAATACTAATTAGGCCTGCTGGCTATTTTCTTTTCTAACCTTTCTAATTCCAACAAATACGACGATGAACTGTAAACAACTAACAAGGTTTGTGCTTTCTTAAATAACGTCGTTTTACTTATTTAATTTTGTTAATAAAAAGCGTATAATTTTACCACTAGTGCATTTTGGTATTGGCTTTCCAATCAATCATCCCCTCCCCCAAAAAAAGCAGGAATAGAGAATTTCAATTTTAAAGCTTTGGATAAAGGTGGTGTGTGTCTCTGTTCTGGTTCCACACCCCCCACATTGGATAAATTGGATTCCCATTCCACCAATTTGTGCATTTTGACTTGTCTACTTTAGTGGTGAAGGTTGGGTTGGGTCCAATTTTATTTTTTTTTTAGACAAAGATCACTGTTTTTTATTTGCAAAAGATTTGGTCAATCAAATTAAAGGGATTATCTCCGTCCGAGTGGGTGGGCTGGAAAAAGCTTTTTATTGTACTTGGGATGTACTACTCTTTCTTCTCTATCCCATATCCTGCCCGTATCCATTTATTTAATCCTTAACTCACATTTTCCAAACTTTAAGTAGAGATTGGTAAATGTATTTTCTATTTTTTTGTATTGAAAGTGTAAAATACGATGATACAACGGAAAGATTTATAGTATACGTGCATATATGAGACTGGATACGTGACGCATCTAGCTTGTTCGTTCCTTTTTCTGCTTCTCAAATCTTTTTTTTGAGTTAGATGGAATATATTTATTTGGTGAGCTCTTACTTTTCCAAATCAATTTAAAATGAAATCAAGGTGTGATTCCTTTTTCCTTTTTCTTTTGTAATCACGTGACTTAAGTATTTTGTGAGAAGAAATGAAGACCTGATATTCCCCTGTAATGGAGGCGTACAAATTTCGCAAACGATCCACCAGGATGACATGTGATTTTGTATTCCATATTTCTTTTTAGTGTAATTTTTAGGCGGGCATTTCCTCATTCCAGCTGCCATTCCATGATATGTACACGATTTATTGCTATATTTTAAATTGCTGAAATCTCCAGAATATGGAGAGATTGTGTGCCCTGAATCAATCCTTCCCCGATTAAAACTAAATCGAAAGGTTCAAATAATTAAATCGGAGGAGGTGTATATATACTGTATTATTAAAACTATAAACAAATACTACTACTACTACTACTAGCAGGTATATAAATTAGGGCCAAAAGTCAACAGTTCTAATCCCATCTCAGAGGTATAAGCAACAACAACAATGGCACGATTCACTAACGTCATTGTAATAAATAAATAATAATAATGCTCATTTTATAGTTTGGGTTTGAATTCAACAACTGCCAGTAGTAGTAGTAGTAGTAAGTTACACCAAGTTGTACAAGTGGTTGCATTTAAGCTTCTTTCGTTACTTTTTAATGCCACAAAATGCAAGTGTTTTATTTGCTGCAAATTGTGACTTACAAGGTTCCATCTTCTGACACCACTTTGTGAGGCTTGACATGTTCAAGTTTGAAGTTTGAACAGATCATCATCATCGTCACTATTCTGAAAACCTCAAGTGGCACGTTGACTAATTTAGCCCAGGGGTTGGCCGAATTTGATTAGTCAAACACAGATTTCTGATTCTGCTTGGCTTCATTATTTTCGATTAGTTGAGCTACATTGGTTGTATTCCGTCCGTTGACCAACCACAGACGACTACATAAATTGAGTCGTGCTGTTTGGAACTTTTAGTAACTAATACCGTAATAAAAAAGGTTCCATTTTCGTTTATACAGAGAACACACTTTCTTTCACCACATCCCACACACATGCAACCAGACACTTGTATTACACCTTCAGTACAACTGTTAAACTTATCATTTCTACCATTTCAATTCTGCACATTTTTAGCTTAAGAGAAAACAACAAGGTTTATAAAAACCCAAAGAATATAAAGCCAAAAAAAGATGGTAAGAGCACTATTACTAATAATATAAGTTCATTGCTCACTATTAATACGCCATTCCTATCCCGGAAAGGGCCTACTATTGATGATGATGATGCCTCATGTTTGAACTTCGCAATGTAACGCCATGCAAAAATTTTGTATACCCTAGAAAACTTAGCTTCCCGTCTGAATCTCTAATCCAGTCTTTCAATAACGAATAAGCCGCAGGACCAACATTCATCTCCTGTATCATAAAACAAAAAACCAGTCCATTCATTCATTCCTAGATAAAATTAATATAAACAAGAAAATGCAGGAGATCTATTGCTGTACGTGAATTTGCCTGCCCCGTACCTTCGCTATTTCCTCAACGGAGGTCACTCGGTTGCCTTCTATTTCGAAATTCTCATACGCTTTACTTGCAATATGCTCCCACTTCTCCAGAGCCTCCAGCTGATATATGCTAATTGCAGCGGCACAGAATTCTTCAAAGTCCATGCTTTGTAGGGATAAAGGTTCCAACTTCAATATGTAAAAACAAGCCATTAGCAATGACAATTCGAATTGCAACAGGGATGCTTTACCAGCTGAAAAATTCTGCTGTACACTAACTTAAATTGGGAAAGAAAGTTTAAGATAATCTTACGAAATTTAAGATTTCAGGAACCCTAGATTCCATCATTGCATCAGATGCATTTCGTAACAGAGCCTGCAGATACATTTATGAGTTAGATTGATGTAAAGAAGACAAGAATTGTTGTTCAGGTCCAATCTGTAAGGTAACTAAGTTAGAGAAAAAGAATAGGAAAGGCTAATAGAAAAGGAAGTGGAAACTGACTGTTTTGAAATTTTTGAGGGATATAAAACCATCTTCCGGATCAAGAAGCTTAAATTGATCCCTTAAGTAAATCAGTTCATCCTCTGTCAAAGCTTTTGACAGAGCCTGCAGTTCAAGAAAGCCAAAGATACAAATCATTACCAAATATTTTAAAATTCGCACACCTTGATTTAACGCAGATCATACAAATGCTCTATTAAAAACCAACAATTAAGAATACCCTTAATGCAGCACGTTTTAAAGATGTGGCTCGAATGTAGGACTTCACTAGTTTGTAAATTAATATATCAAGCGGCACTGTACAGTTTTGATCTCTCAACCAAGGGTGAGCTGCAAAAGTAGAAGCATTTTAGACTTCCAGGATATAAGAACACAAAATATAAAAGGTTCAGAAAGACACGAAATCAGAATGGTCCACAGAGAACAGATTACGAGTGTAATCCTTTCAGTAATTTTAATTGAATGTAAAACTCACTTAATGCTTGTGCAGCTGACATTCTTTTCCGATGATCTTTGTTCAAAAGTCTTTTTACAAAATCTTTGGCTTCTGCGGAAACTGAAGGCCATGGTGAGTCGTCGAAGTTAGGATCAGCGCGAAGCACTGACCGGAAAATTCCTGATTCAGTACGGGCCCAGAAAGGTCTACTTCCACAAAGTAAGATATATGTTATTACACCAATGCTCCAAATATCCCCCTCGACACTGTATGATCTATGAAGCACTTCAGGAGCAACATAATATGCACTGCCAACAATATCATTGAGACGTTGATCTGCATCACCAGAATAAAGTATAAGTGATACATTGCGCACAACTGAACGAGCAATGTAAAACAAAAAGAATGGAACTCAGGAATGGATAGTGCAAAAATTAATTGTCTTACGACAATCAGTACAAATTGAGACTTCTGGTGAACTTAATAAGAACAAAATCTTATTGCAGATCTCTTAACTGGTATGTGAACTGGTTATACCATGAGATTAGGAAAGGAAATTTAGATACAGTCTATAGTGGGCCAATACCTTGGCATGGTAAACTAACTAATGTCTTCTATAATTTTTAAAAGGATAAATTCCAAATTTATTTCCTAGACATTGATTTCGTGATCAAAATATTTACTGTTTCAAGGACCAGTTATGTAACGGGCGTCGTTATCATTCACAAAATGTACTGACATATGGCAGCAAATCATGAAACTGCTTTCACGACATTACCAAACACCGATTTTTGTACTAGTCTGAGGTGTCATCAACGGAGTCAGGGTCTCGATATCAGATAACCCTTATGCCGAAAAAAAGCTGCATGGGTGACCTTTGTCACATGGGTTGGCCAAAAAGGGGAAAGACACGGGTGCAGGTGCAGAGCACGTGTCAGACACTAAGCAAATTATGGAGCACCAAGTGTCGATGAAAAAAAAGAACCGCTTGGCTTGTCCTTCGATCACATTACCTGTGATTGACTTGGTAATTCGGTTATAATTTATTGTTTCTTTTAGATTAGAAATTTATGAAGTAAATTTCTGCGACCTAAATTTTTTGGTAATTATCTTCTAAAGGACAAGTTGTAAATACATACACGTGTCCATAGCCGCGTTCATCCGTATTGTCATGTCCGATATTATAAGAAACAAACATCAGACACTACACCAGCAACCGACACCCGAATTCAAGTAAATGTGACATTGTGTGCAACTAAATGACATAATAATATGGGCTATTTACTATCCAAATTAGACTATATTTTACGACTGCAATCACCTCAAAATATGATAAATGAGGTGTCAATGGCACATTTCACGGACATACAAATCTCATCTAAGTTCACAAATTGATTTGGGGAGTAGCAAAACTGAAGGCTTTACCATGTTTTACTTTAATTTATTTTTTATCTGAGTGGCTTCATCCAACTTAAATCTAATTCCATTTATGTCTAAGCAGAAAAATCTAAAAAGATCTGATAGTTTAAAAGCATGGAGGAACAGAGATAATATATCCAACATAAAGATTTTGATGCAAACTTATTCTGGTTAAAGCTAGTAGGTCTGTCTGGAAGTCTCACAAGCACAAATAGATAGATATGCAAAAGGTGAATATCAAAGCCACATGAACCATATTTTATTTTGTTGGCACGTGTTTCTAATAAATTGATAATATTTATAACTTGGGGTCGTTTAAGGGAAAAAGGCAGAAAGATCAATCAAGATATGGAACAATTACCAGGCTTGATAAAGTCGGAGAGTCCAAAATCTATAATCTTCAAAGGAGCATCCTCGTCTTTAGTGGCAAAAAGAAAATTCTGCCAAGTGACCACAATAATAACAGATTACTTTCAAGCTCATATTCGATGGCATTTACACATTTCTCAAATGAGTAATTTAATGATTCAATAATTAAGAAAAAAAAATGCATAAGGAACGATGAAAGAGCATGCTTAAAGCATTTCTTTATTTGCAGAGAACATTATGTTTATGTGTAGAGGTATGTGTCTTTAAATACCTCCGGCTTTAGATCACGGTGCACAACACCTTGTAGATGGCAAAAGGCAACAACACTCAACATCTGTACAACAATACTTTTAGCATCTTTCTCTGTGTATCTTCCACCTCTGCAGTAGAATTTGAAAAGTTACAAATTTTAATGATGGGTATAACAAACAACATCAGCAAGGATTATAGAGGCAGTAATACCTAGATAAAATTCTGTCGAGGAGTTCACCGCCTTCACACAATCTGTAAAGTACAAAGTGAAATTCAAGTACTTTTAAGCAAAATTTATTGGTTATCACTAGTCGGGGATTTGGGAAAATGAATTCCAACGAAGGATTCATTCTAGTAATACAATGAGGAGATGAACATATACAGTATTCAGTCGATGAACATACATTACACCTAAATGATTATCTTAAGTAAGAGTCTAAATGTTTGCTAATAGTATTAAATAGAAGAAGTTGTGCCTTAAAATAGCTAGGCAGATAAAATTAGCCTATTGGAATAGAACTTATAACTCCTCTGAAATGATTGCTGATGACAATAGAAGATACTTACTCCATAACTATGTAAACATTCTGCGCATCTTCAAATGCATCGTGACATTTCACCAGATTCCTATGACCAGATAAAGATTTCAATATCTTCACCTCCCTCCGGACATCTTCAATAGAAATTGCTGTAGTCATCTGCCAAATGTAGACTTATCAGTTAAGAACTCCTTGGGAAAAACATAGGACCGATGCAATTGGCAAATCACATAAATAAACTCTGAACAAAAAGGAAACACAAATTTGCTTTTCCAGGACCAATGCAATACGGACGCATCAAGCCAGTCCCTCGAGAAGAAGATCAGTACATTTTCTTTTCCACATCCCTTCTAAATATTGCGGGAAGAATGTTCACCTCCATAATGGGCAATGCATTTGGATTAAAACTTCAACCCCTCCACATGCTATACTAAAGATTTGATGAGTCGTCATTTGCCTAAATTAAAGATTTTCAAGGCTACCCTTGCTTAACAATGGCAAGAGAAAATACACGATTTCATTTTATGTAGATGAGGACTAAGCTTATCTGGCAGCGTGGAATCGGCAAAAACATAAAGTGCGCCATTGCTTGAATTCTTTGGATCAAATTCTAGTAAGATAACAATCAAGATACAACTTTTGTAACTTATATAATCTTGCTAGAATGACAGCATCCAGTTTTTGGCAACAATTTTTCCGTTTTCACTTCCTGTTCTTATAATCATTTAAATATCCCTCAGCATTATTTAATAACAGAGGCAACTACGAATAGAAAAAGGAACAAGAGAAAAAAAAAATGAATACTGAAAGGAAAAAACTAAGAAAAATTAAAATTAAAAACACAGTGATTTATAAGACATACCACGCACCTTAGCTTTGGATATGATCTTGACGGCCACCGGTTGATTCTTTAGCTCTCCTTTCTTACCTTTTGCCCAGCATGTATGTCCAAAATGCCCTCGGCCCACCTCCTTTCCCAGCTCATATTTAGCGGCGAAATTCTTGGGGTACCCAAAGCTCTTATCTAACGGCCGCTCGCCACCCTCATTCTCTTCGCCGCCGTGGTCCTCCGGTATGGGCCCTTCCTTTGGCTTCCCCGTCGCCGTCCCTCCTCGGCGCTTCAAAATCGCAGACATAATAGGCTTGGCAGGCGAGGGTGGGGGGAAAGGCCATCTGAATTTCCTTCCCGGAGTTCTCGCCGGAGACGGAGACGGCCGAACGCCCGCCGGGTACGGGCTTTGAAATGGACTCGCGGCGAATGAATGGGCCGGAGTGCTCTTGCTGGAATGTGAGTGATGTCCGTTCGCCGCCGATGAAGGACCCGGAGAAACATTCGGATTCTGCTGCCGCCTGTGATTCCGACCGTTGGTGGAGACGACGGAGTCGGTACCGGCGGTACTGGCGGAGTAATCGTCGAAGGAAGACGGGACTGTAGTATTATTACTGGATTTGTGGCCAGCATCCGGACCAGTTTTGCTGCAGCATTGCCCCATGGACGACGGCGATGAATTTTCCGACCGGATCAGACAGTCAAAGTCAGCTCATCAACTGGTCAACACTGAATTTTTAAACGACGATGCCGGCTAAAGAAACTGCGCAGTTTTTTACGCGGAAGTTTATATAGTGCTGTTATTACCACTTCACCCCGTAATATAGTAAAGCAGACTACTTTTTGTAAGAAAAGGAAATGGGAACATGATAATTAAAAGAAAAAAGGAATTACCAGTCCGTAATTTGTAGGCAGTTGGAAATATTTATATAAAAAAGGGATTATATTTTGACTGCAAGGAATTTAAAGTAAAGACGTTTTCTTACAAAGATTTTCAGGAGAAAACGTCAGAGGTTATGTCATTATGTGGGTGAAAATACCAAACACAATACCGTCAAATGAGTTCGCTCCTTGTATGTTTGTGTTTGTTTTCATAATTCATTGAAGAGTTTCACATTCCAACATATTTTTTTAATTATATTTCTAATAGGAAAAAACATTTAAAAATACATGTTAAAAAACGAACCAAACATATCTTTAGGTTTGAACTAAGAAGGTTCATTGCTGGGAGTTTAAACCGTAATTATTTTCAAATCACTCCTTTGAAGTTCCCATGTATTGCAAAATGCCACTTAAAATAGTGCCTTAAAAAAAGTCCACATTTAATTTTCAATTTTGCATTGTTTTTAGTACAAAATTTAAAATTTAATGTGGATTATTTTTTTGGGGACGAAAGTAGTATTATACTTATAACCATATGCTGCAGAATTAAAATATAGTATGTCAATGTATAAGGTTCTGTTTCGTTTGATCTTGACAAAATAATAATCATACTAATATTTTTACATTTTCAGCACTCTTCTTCTTCTGCTTCTTTTTCTTTTTACATATGTAATACAAAATTTCTCCAAAATAAAATTAAAATCCCCGATATATTCAAATATTATAATCAATAGGTTTAAATGCACCTTAATCATTTACCTTACCTAACAGCTTATTGATCATTTATTATTTCATACTCCCTCCATTTTTTTTATATGTCTTTCTAGAAAATTCATCAAAACTAATAAAATATTAATTAATTTAGTTAAAATACAAAACACCCTTATTAATTTTCTATACAATTCATCACGAATCAATAGAAATTCATTATAAATACTGTTTCATTTCCAATGCAAGGATAATTTTGGTAAAAAATGGTCAAATGTGTCTCAATTTGTGAATACAACATATATTTAAAAAAATTCACCAAATCCTAAAACGACATACTCCCTCTGTCCCATAATTATTGTCCAGTTTGGGTTTTCATTTCTAGTTCAAATGGCACTAAAAACGAAATCTCAAACTGGACAATAATTTTGAGACAGAGGAAGTATATTTCAAAATGGAGGGAGTACAACATTTCTAGCCCTGGATTAAGTTAAACTTGTACATTTCTATTCAATGGTAATAAAGATTGGATCAGCCAAAGTGGTACTAGTATTAAAGATTGATTATTTTTGGCATATGATTGTGACTGATAAGTAAAGGGTGGACGTAGACTCTATTTTTCCCAGGCTATGGAGGATTGTCAAAATCTGAATAGGAAAAAAACACATACACACACACATCCATCCTTTTGCCGGGACCTAAAAGAATATTTTACCTTAAACCATAGAGTTGAAAGTTTAAATTAAAACAAGGTAATAAGACGATACGAGAGAAGACGAGTATAAGATGTTGTAGAAGAATTGTCATGTTAATTTAACATGATATTCGGAGGTCAAAACTATACGTATTGAAGAGAGGCTATATAATTAATTATTGGTTTTACAATTATTTTCAGATGGTTTATTCTCTGAAGTTTTTGGAGATGATTCTTTTATTTAGTCGATGAAACCAATTATGCCCAATTTGTTTGGATTATCATAGGGGACGGATAAATCTTTGGAGGGTCGGAAATTTTGTTGATATTCTTTCATCACTAAAGAGACTTTGTTTATTTTGCCTACCCCATTATTGATACAGCCACACACCAGGTGGACATAAATGAGTTGCACAAGAGAGATCCAGATTTCCATCTACCGCGGCTCCTTCTTTGAAAATCATAACACTAACAACAATAATTAAAAAAAGAAAATGGGAGTAATAATTAGGCACTCGCAATTGTTGCTGCAACTAACTTGATGCGTTTCCTTTGAGTTTCAATGTTTGACCCTGTCATTCATTTAGGTCAGCATGTCGATTTTATTTGGAACACGGAGTATGATCGATAACTGCGCAATTTTGATATTTTCATCTTTCTGTATTTGAAGAATCATTTTTGGGACGTAAAGAGATTGCCCTTAAGACTAGAATCAAGCATTCAAGAGAACTCATTATGGATGCAAAGCTTACGACCTGTGATATTGCGTTTTGGTTACAACTCAGCACCAGCAAGATAATTGAAAAAACAACACCGGTTGACACTTGACAAACAACCATACCCCCCAAACTGGCTTCTTCAAGGCTAATAAAAGCAACTAGACAAAGAATATCTTTAACTCATATTTTCTCCACTTGAGAATTGTAAAATATAAACTGATACCCTTTATAAGGAAAGAGTAGCAAAAGATGACGATGGGCTATTCCCATGAATGGCAGTAGAGATCCATTGTTAGTCTCGCCACATAAGAGTAAGGATTCACCAACCAAATTAATGAATGTCGTAGGACGATCATTCATTGATAATCTTAAAAGAATAGCGAAGTGGTTGCTTTGGTGTCAAAAACATTACACGAAACATGCCATCTGCCTGCCCGGTCCTGCCCTTATTGATGTCTTCTTCCACAGTTGGAAAATTATATTTAATCAAGGAGGAGAAAAAAGCACACTAACACAAGGGATAGCAAAGTTCTACTGGTTCATTCAACAAGATCCTATTTCAAGCAACTGTAGATGGATGATCTTTCCTTTCTAGCCTTAATAAAAAAAAAAAAGGAAAAGAGGGATTGAATTTTTTCAAGTATGAAAGAAAACCTTGAGTTATACGTGTTGTCAACAACCCGGAAAAAAAAAAAACACAGATGAACAGATATATAACCTCAATAGAAACAGATATAGTCTATAAGCTAGAATCCTAGCTGATTCAATGTAAATTGCGAACTATGCAACTACATTATTCCAGGCAAGGCTTGAATGAATCTTCACCGTTTTCCTCCAGTTTACATGTCTTCCAAGTATCTGCCAGATAATAAATTACTTCTGTTAACTGGCTATGAGTCTGTTAAAAAGCACCAAGCTCAGAGAAACACAAGCACTTCTGCCACAGGAAAAGTAAACCTTGTACAGGGCAAACAGGACAAGACACCTATAAGAATAAATTTATTGTTACATGAAAACCACATCCCGATTTAAAGCAAAAACCAACCTACATACACACCTCATGCAAGAACTTACAGAAAAAGACCAAGCATTGTTCCTCCATAGATTCCTAAGCTTCACATATCTCTTCAAGTAGACATTTAACTTTTACATTTCAGGAGCTCTGCATGGTAAATACTACTCCCTCCGGTCCTTATTGTAAGGCATTTTTTTTCGGAAAGGATTATAAGGAATTTAAATTTCATTTCGTATGTTCTTATAATTGAAAATAAAACCTTAAAAATGTATTTTTACATCTATTGTGTTCTCCCAATAATCATAAAATATTTTTAAGGTTTTATTTTTAATTGGAAGAACATATTAAATGAAACTTAAGACAAATCAAGTCTTATAATAAGGACCAAAGGGAGTACTAACTTTAAATCACCTAATGCACAATACATATAGCACAACAAGAAAAGCATGACATATTGCGGAATTGATTGGATTTGAGAACAAACAGAAGAAACTAACTGTCAACATTCAGGGGAACAACAAATGGATTCACAACTAGCTTTTGCCCATAAGACGAATAAGGTAAATCATTATGTCATATGGCCAACCAAGAGAAGTGCTAACGAACAAAAGTTTACTTCTCTTCACATTAAAAAGATATATGCTAAATGCCATCACTTCGACATTCGGCGCAGCTAAATGAACATCACGTTTCAAGCATGGATACATTACAACCTACTTTGGTAGCCATAATATGCTTTAGCTGAGATTCACCGGGATGGTCCAAGGTTAACTACGGTGTGAATTTGAGAGTCAGGGTTCATGGCTACTAACAATTCTCATCCTTCCATCACCCAGAACCTTTTTTAAATTGAACCAGGATTAGTATAGCGTCCAGCAAAACCCATAATGCAAGTTAGGGAATCATGCTTAAGGTTTATATTGTGAAGCTAGTATAGCACACGAGGCCAATTAAACTAACAGCAAATCCCAATAGGTCAAGTTCAGGATACTAGTTTGATTAAAACCCACTGGAAACAACGGATGGGCATAGCAGGTCATGAAGCTATCTTCACCACCAATAGTTATCTCATAATACCAAGAGAAAGTGCTAAGCAAAACAGTATTAACCACAATAAGCACAAAACGAGAGTTGCAAAACCAGCAATATAGATTCTAGAGTTGCAGAAGAAAATCAAAACGTTCAAATTGCGCAAAAGTAACTTAAATATACACTATAGAAGCTAAGCAATGTACCAACTCACCGTGATAAAATGAGGGGTTTTCTCTGTTTCTCTACCAAGATGCTTTCTTAATGCCCATAAGAGCACCTTTCGAGGCTAATTCCCTGAAGCATATACGAGACATCCTAAACAATTGATAAACGGCGCGGGGTCGGCCGGTGAGAATGCAACGGTTTCGAATCCGGGAAAAGGCGCTGTTCCTCGGCAACTTGGACAGCTTGTACCGCTGTTTTTCCCGGAGCTCAGCAGGGAGATCTGGGTTTCGGCACAGGGCTTTGTAGAGGTTCCGCTTCACTTCGAATTTCTCCGCCATCAGCCGGCGGTTGTGATCTTTCATCACTCTTTTCTCCTCCGCCAAACAGCTGAAATTCCTCCTCACAGCCGCCATCGTCGACTGCTGCCATTGCGGAGCCACTAGCGTGGTGAGTTTCTGCTTCGCGAGATCTTTGCATAAGGCAAACATTTTACTGATGTTTCTCCGGCGACGGTGGCCGCTGGTACTGCCGTGAATGAAAAGGGGTTTCCAATCAGTACTTTGGGTTTTAGCTCGACTAGAATGACGTTAACTTTGTTAGGTTTGGGCCTCGGAGTATGGGTTTTGGTTGTGGTGTGTCAGGCCCATGCACTTTAATAGTAGTAATCCTTCTTGAACACCTTTTCCAGTACAGTTTTGGAAAACAAATTATTAACATATATTATAATTAGGGAACATGGGATTGGACTTGGTAGTCCTCTCACATGATTCTCACATGCTTCTTTTTTTTATTGTTTGTTTTAATTTTTAGTTTTTTTTTTCTTTTAATCCAAACTTAGTGCACTTCTTCATTTTTCTCTTGTTATATTTATCGTAATCTTTAATTAAGATTAATGAAATTTTCATTTCTTTTCATTTTCTATTATTTATTATAAAACGTTTCATTTCTTTTCATCTTCCTTTCATTTTGTGTTCTTTTTATGGAAGTTGTATTTTTCATCTTCCTTAGTCTTTTGTTTTTAACTACATTATTTTTTGTTGGTTGGTTCATTTATTTAGAGTCTTTTCATCTACTATTTTAGTAACCATTACAATATATTTTACTAAAACTATTTAAGGATCATATTTTATTTAGAGTCTTTCATTTTTCTATTTACTTCTTCTTACTTATCTCTTATCCAACTTTTGTCTCTTTTTTTCTTATTTTGCAAGTTTATTTTGATTTATTTTTTCTGACAACCCAATTGAAACTTTAATGTGCAAGTTTTGGCTAATCACGAACATGAAGACAAGTTGCAAGATTAAAAAACAACATTGGTTCTAACAGAAAAATTTAGAAACATGAATGTATTCTTAATTTTAGTAAAGTTTTAAGTCTTTTATACTTTATAATTTGTAAGTAATAGGTAGTGATGTATTTTATAGACGTTTTAGCTAAATTCTTTGAACAAAGACTCATCTCTACATGTATATTTCTTTTAAACCCGTACGCGCGAAGCGCGTTTGATTCATCTAATAAACTATAGTATGAGAATATACTTCCCAGTTCCCAATTCCAATTACTCCCTCCGTCCCATAATTATTGTCCAGTTTGGATTTTCATTTTTAGTTCAAATTGTACTATAAGTGAAATCTCAAATTGGACAATAATTTTAGGACAGGTGTAGTACAACATACTAAAATGATATTAGAACTGTTGAAATTTGATAATAATATAAGTAATGCATCTTTCACCTTGAAATGATTTTTCAGCTTGAAATGACTGTGTGTAGATAATCATTTTTTAACTAAAAAAAGAGTAAATGTTTATGTACTCATTAATTACTGCGTGTCTCTCGTGGACCAGATACATATTCAACAACTAAATGGAACTCGTAATTACTCTTCATGCTTTTAAAAAAAAAATTGTAATGATAATACATATGGGCGAATATGTGGATGGTTTACTTTGATGCTTTCCTATCTTCCGTATGTTATAGTATTATTTTGTATCTCTGTATGAAGTGTGAATATATATGTACTCACTAATTACAATGTGTCTCTCTATATCAGCTACATGTTCATCAAATAAATGGAGCTCATAATTAGTCATACTGTTTTCAAATAATTGTAATGTTAATATATAAGGGCGAAAATGCGAGTGGTTTACTTTGATGCTTTTTTTTTTAATGAAAGAATTTTTATTAACTTCTTAAAACCACCATCAACAGTACAAGCTTACAAACTGACCAACTCTATTACAGCCAGTTTAGAACAATCTTGTCAACTCATTCCCAGCCTATCAAAAAAACTTTTATTTATTTGTCTCATTTTCTGAAAACACAGCTTGAATCTCCAATGCATTTCCTGCTTGATCTCCACAACAAGATTACTAACAGGTCTGCAATCCTGTCCATGTAAAACATGATTCCTCATTTTCCAATTATGATACACAGCTGCAACAAGTGTGCCAAATAAAAGCCTCCGTTTACACTTATTTTGTGTCCAAATTTTCAGTAGTTTGGTCTTCCATAAAACTATGTGGACTAGTACTCTTCTGCATTCCAACCATTCTGTCAATGTTTCTAACACCTGCTGGGAATATCTGCAGTGGAACATCAGATGGTCCAGGCTTTCCTCTTCTAAGTTACATAAACCACACATCATGGGAGCATTCACAATTTTCAGCTTAAGCATTCTGTCAGCAGTCAGCAGTCGTCTCTTTAATGCCAACAACAGAATAAAACTATGTTTTGAGATATTCCATATGTTCTAAATAACAACAGCTTCTTTTAGTTTCTGCCATTCACCTCTCATCCATATATAGCCAGATTTAATGCTGTAACACTCCTTGCTGTCTGCTAACTATTTATCCTGATGAAAATTAGCTTTCAACTGCTCTTTAATCTTCATCAATTTTAATCAATGCCAACAGGCCCTTTTTGGGGGTTGATAATCCCAGATACTTTGTCCTTTGAGATAGTACCCCCGACACCACTTAACCCACGCATTATCCTTCTTGATAGCTAAATCCCATATCTGTTTTTTCATTGTTGCCTGATTACAACTGATGGAATCTTTTATATTCAACCCTCCAAATTTCTTAGGTTTACAAACCTCATCCCAAGACACCAACGAATATGCTCTCCCATTTTCCTTCTTCCCCCACAAAAATTCTCTACAAACCCGAATCACCTGAGATATTGTCTTTTTTGGCAAAATGAAGATAGAAGCCCAGTGTGTATGCAAGGATAACAACACTGAGTTAATCAAAACTACTCTCCCTGCATAAGAGAGATGTCGTGATGACCAGCATTTTATCCGAGCTGTAACTTTATCCACCAAAATCTGGCAATCCAATTCACTCTATTTTCCAGGGGATATAGGAATACCTAAGTATTTCATAGGAAAACTACCCATACTAAACCCAGTAATTAGTCTAAACTCCTCCTTCATATTAGTATCAACCCCTCCATAGTAGAAATGAGATTTACTAAGATTTGCTTTCAGGCCAACAGTCTCAGTAAACTCATCTAAGATACATTTAACTATCCCTACTATCTTTTTATCTGCTCTACAAAGAATAATCAAATCATCCGCAAAGCTAAGGTTAATGATTTATACCATTTTGCATTTTGGATGGAATCGAAAATCCCCCTTTGTTACCTCTGCTTTAAACATCCTGGACAGATATTCCATAAAGAGTACAAAAATCAGCGGGGATATGGGATCCCCCTGCCTAATTCCACATTCCCCTGCAAAAAAAAAAAAACTGTCAGTCCATCATTCAAGTTAAGAGAATAGCTACTAGAAGTTATGCATTCCATGATCCAATGAGAAAACTTGGCAGGGAATCTGAAACCTTCCAACACCTCCTCTATGAATTCCCAGGCAATGGAGTCATAAATCTTTTGTAAATCCACCTTCATTAAGCATATGGGTAAAACATTATTTCTGTTGTACAATTGCGACATCTCTTGAGTCAGTAAGATGTTATGAATAATAAGCTTGCCTCTGACAAACGCTCCCTGATTCTTATCTACCAGATCAGCTAACACATCAATCATTCTATTACACAATATCTTGGTAATACACTTATACAGTGTGTTACAACAAGATATTGGTCGAAAATCAGCAGTTGATTGGGGGTTCTCCTTCTTTGGTATTAATGCAATGATAGTCGCATTTATTTGTTTAAGAAGCTTCCCATATATGAAAAACTCCTTTACAGCCTCACACACACTTGTTCTGATTATCTGCCAAGACTTTTTTGTAGAAACCACTGTTGTATCCATCAGGTCCAGGGCTTTTAGCATCATCTATGGAGAACATAGCCCTCTGGATTTCCTCATCTGTTATCTCTGTTATCAAGTCCAGTTGTTGTTCAGTACTCAATGTGTATCCATTGTGACATATCTCTCTTTTAATAGCCTTTTTCTGGACTTCTTCCCCTAGCAATGCCTTAAAAAAACCTATAAAGTGATCCTGTACCTTATCCCAACCATCAATGACTCTACCATCTACCTCAGTGTATGCCAAAATATGGTTCCTTCGTTGTTTCTGTTTGATCATAACATGGAAATATGATGTATTCAAATCTCCTTGTTGTATCTAATGCTCATTAGTTTTTTGCTGCCTGAAACAGTGAGCGTTGGAACATGCTGCTCTATATTGCTGCACACATTCTTTCTCCTTTTTTTGCAGTTGAATATTTCCTGGTTAACACTGAATTTCTCGTTGAACTTGCTCCATCTCCTGTTTTCTCTGCTGAACTTGATCATCGATGTTGGAAAATCCCCTTCGATTTAAATCCTTCAGAACAGGTTTCAACAACTTTTGTTTCTGGACCAGCCGAAACTGATTGGTGCCCCGAATGTGGGATTGCCGTATTTGTTGAACAATACTCTAATATTCATCTGAGTTAGTCCACGTATTGAAGAACTGAAAAACTCTTCTTACTTGAATGCTGATTGGAATCGCAACGAATGAGTAAGGGGCAGTGATCTGACAGACCCTCAAGAAGAATTGCCACCAAACTCTTATCAAATTCCATCAACCATTGCTCATTAACCAAAACTCTGTCCGATAGAGCACAAATCCTGCTAATCCCCACTTGTTTGTTATTCCAGGTATAAGGCCCTCCCTGAATGTGTAAATAACTTAACCGGCAATCATCAATAAACATTTTGAAATCTCCAATGTCAGCTGTTGTTACTTGTAACCCCCCTCCCCCAACTTTCTCTTCCTGCTTGATAACAATATTAAAGTCATCAGCTAAACACCATGTTGTTCCAATTGTATGACTCAGATTAGTTAACTCCTCCCATAGTTGTAGTCTGTCAGTTCTGGAATTAGCTGCGTTTACTATAATAAGAGCATATTTCCTTTTACTTATTCTTTCCTCTACCAAACAATGCAAAAATTGTGGTCCTCTCTTCAAAATATTCAAGCTCAGATATGCAAGCTTCCAAATCATAATGACCCGATGCCTTTCATCGTCACTGCTATTCCCCGTATATCCATATTCTGGTCCCCATTTTTGTATTATTTCCATCATATTTTTCTCCCTTAGCTTTACTTCCACTAATCCTAATATATTAACTTGCTGCACAGAGATTAATCTTCAAAGCTTTCTGTGCTTTAGGGAGCTGTGTAGCCCCCTAGTATTCCATATTACGATATTATTCATGAGGGGTAAACCCCTGCATGCTACTCCCCTCTCCTTCCTTACTCATCCAAATTCGATAATGCTTCAGTGGATTCCCACTGTAGCTTGACTTATCCCCTGAAACTTGGCTGCCAGCAAACTATTGTTAATTATGCCCTTCTGCCATAGGAGGATCCTGTTTCTTCTTAGCAATAGATTGATAGACAGTTTTCTGGACAACTGTAGACTTCTTTACTGGCTGAATCTTCTTCCTACATTTCTCCGTTTCATGTCCATAACCCTTGCATTCCTCGCACTTTATTGGTTTCTATTCATAGTCAACTTTCTGTTCAATAACCACTCCATACTCATCTTCAAACCACAATTGATCTGGCAAGCTTTCTGTAACTTCCATCTCAACCAACAATCTTGCATAATCAATCATAAGCTTATTTGCTGTCATATCATCCATTTTAATAGGTCGTCCCACAGCACTAGCAATACGACTGATAGTTTTCGAGTTCCAGTATTTAAGCTTGAGATCTGGCAGTTTAACCCAAATTGGAACCTTCAATATTTATTCTAGCTGAAATTCTTCATCAACATTTCAGTTCTTCACTATCGGGGGTTTGGCATCAAAATGATGATAAGGTTGATTTAGCACAACATTCTTCCCTTCTATAGTTTTAAACCTTACCACAAAGACACCATTAGCCATCAACAACACCTTATCCACTCTAAATCTACCCCAATTCCTCTGGATGTATGCATTTATGACCCGAAACGGGGGATGACTATGCAAGACATAATATAGGCACAAAGAATTCCGGTACTCAATCTCGCAGTCAATTTCTTCTTTAAGAACTTTATCAATTTTCTTATCTGCCACCAACTTTGGATCAAAATATTCCTCCAATTTCGATCAATCTTATCTTGCCCTAATTCTTGCTTTCCCCCCATTCACTAAGTGTTTCCGAACTCATAATTTTAGCATTACACAGCTTCTCTAATACCGAATTAGCACGATTATCAATTGATGCCAGGGATGGACTAGAAATTCTTACCAGAATCTGAACCTCCGATTATTTTTCAGTCATATCTGTTGGCTTCGAACAACTTCCTTTCTCCACTGCAGCTTCCAATCCTTCAACCCTGACCACCTTCTGAGGAGATTTCGCCACAACCTTCTTCCCCTTAGCAGGCATTGCCATGACTGATACCCTAGGTACCGACGTACTAAGGAACAACATAGAAAAAAATGCCACGAATATTCTCACACAATAAAACGTGTTTTCGCCCTCAGATAACGCCTGTCACAGTATTTAGTTTGATGTTTGGTAATATTTTTTGATGCTTTTTGTATCTTCTATTTGTCATGTTCTTTTTCACCTCTATATTCGTATTTAATTCAAAATTTAAGCCTTTGTATTATGCTCCAACCGTCCCTATTTGACCATAAATGAAATGATATGATACATGTTTTTAGTTCAGTAAACTTTTAAATAATGTGTTTAAGAATTAAGACTTACATTTTCGCTATCGCAAGTTTGCATAATATTTAAACTGTTATAATTACCGCTAGATGTCTTTTGATTGTTTTTCTCCAATCAATGAAAGAGACGAGGAAAGAAAAGAGAGAGAGAGAGAGAAGAAAAATAGTTTCTCAAACAAAACGTGGAATATTATTGATCCTAGATAAAATGGGCTCAAAACCCAAAACATTGGGCTCCATTTTTGAATTCAACTCAGCCCAACAAAGCTATATCTGATGCAGAGTGGTCCATACACAGTAGACGAAAAATAGGGGAGAAAAAACGCTGGCGCCCAAATCAATCTGATTTTGGCCAATCGCAAAAACAGAAAAACATACTGTCGTCAACGTTTTTCCCTTTTAGCTCCGATTCCTCTATTTTTGAAAATATAAACTCCTAGGACCAAAAAATAAAAAAATAAAAAAAGAAAAAACTAAATCCATCTTCCCCAACCCAAATATCTCTCTCATCACTCATCGGTCCAATTCTCTCACTATTCTCACAGTTGTTAATAGAAAGTATAGCTCTGTAGAGAGAGAAACGGGGAGGGTAGAGAGAGAGAGAGGAGAAGACAGATTGTGTTGTGGCGCTACTTTACTTTATACTATTTTCCATTTCCCTTTCAATCACTCTTCATGCGTCCACTCATTTGACTGATTTATTTTTCCCTCTAGGGTTTTTCAATTTTTCCGTTTGATTATTTTTTTGGTTCATTTTTCTGGCGCGGTCTCGGTGTATTGTTAGGGTTCTTTCTTTCCCGGCACAGGTTTAGGGTTTATTGATTTCGGATTGGTGTTAGCATTGCGACAATGGAGGCCGCGGCTGCTGCAGCCGCCGCCGCACGCGGTTCTTCTTTGTCCATTCCGTCGTCTCATTCTTCTCGCAAAGAGTGGCGGGTTGTCTCCGAGGCATCGGTTCGGAATTCTGGAAATGAGGTAAATCATGTGCTTTCATCCCTTTATCACTTTGACTAAGTAGTGATTGTTCGATTGTTGTTCCATCGTACTCCCCAAAAAAGGATTATTTAGTATTTTAATTCTCAAGTACGAACGACGGATGCTGATTTTTGCAGGACTTGGAGCGTTCTAAATTAGGACAGTCCGACGAGAGATTGATATTCGAGGTAAGAAATGGATACTTGGAAATTTGGGGACCTAGCATTTCCTCCTTATTGCCTATTATTATCTCACAAAAAAAAAAAGAAAGAAAGAAAACATAACACTGTAATTTTCATTATTTATCCTAAACTAATAATGAATGCCAATGAGAAATGAAGGTGTATTTGTATGTCTTTATTAAGGTGCAACAGGGGGGTAGTAGAGAGCCTGCAGATGTGGACTTTTGTTCCATTACAATTGATGGTAGTTTGGACAATGATATTTTGCAGCAGAGGCTGCATAGTGTGGTGAAACAAAGAGAAGAGTTGCAGCAAATTGAGACTGATCTTCGCGCTCAGCTCATTGCTCGGGTAGAAATAATGGAGATGCGAAATACTTACGATGCTCAGATTAAGGATCATGCCAATGTCAACATCAAACTGCAGGTCTCATATACGTTGTTAAATTTCATTTTCTATGCATGCTTGCTTCCTTTATATTTATTTTTAATTAGAAATTCCACGTTGCTCTGTTTTTCTCCGATGCTCTTGCTCAATTCCCTTTTCCTTGCCATTGAAGGAACAACTGCGAGAGAAAGAACAAAGGGTGCTTGAGTTGGAGAGAAAGATTGATGAGAAAGATAGGGAATTACATGCCATCAGACTAGACAATGAAGCGGTTTGTTTCCTAACTTTTTTCTATTAGATGGGTTCTTGCTAGAAGATGAAATACGTGTTGTCCCTGCGATTCATAATCTATGACCTTTTCCCATCAACTTTAGCAGGCTTGGGCGAAAGAAGATCTTTTGCGAGAGCAAAGTAAAGAACTACAAACGTACAGGTATAAGCTTTTCATCCTCTTCTACTGTGGTCATCCTGGCTTTTCTGTGAGATGAGGAAACATTACTAAGTTTTATCGACTGAGTACAACAGGTCTTTAAACAGTTCTGTCTTTATGTCTTTCTTTGCAGGAGGGAACGTGATAACAGTGAGGCAGAAAGGGCTCAGCATATCAAACAAATTCATGATCTCCAGGAACATTTTCAAGAAAAAGAGCAACAGTTGATGGAGTTGCAGGAGCAGGTTCTTAATTTTCATTCTTAAGTTTGCAGTCTTCAGATTGTAGACTTGTGACACTCTATAGTTAGGTCTTCATCATGTATATAATGGAATGACTTACCAGATAATTTATTTCAAGCCTACTATTTTTTGGCCATTGTTCACTTTCTGACAACAGTCCTTTAACATTCCCTGGAAGAATCTTATCAGTTTCTTTCCTGCATTTTGTCCCTCGGGATAATTTTTTTTGAAGTGGTATTCTCTTTTTACTTTTTCCTGTATCGTGACCAAGTGACGAAAATTTGATATGCTGCAGAATAGAATTGCCCAAGAGACCATCCTCTACAAAGATGAGCAACTCAGGGAGGCCCAGTCATGGATAACTCGTGTACAGGAGATGGATGCTCTACAATCAACTACAAACCAGACTTTGCAAGCAGAACTTCGGGAGCGCACAGAACAATATAATCAGCTTTGGCTTGGTTGTCAAAGACAGGTTGTTAATATTAGCCACATTGTGCTCTGAATTACTTCATTTGTGTGTTTTTTTTTTATGCCAGTGCCCGGATTACCTGTAGAATGTACCATTTATGCTAGTTTGTATTTCCTTTTGATAGTTTGGTGAGATGGAACGGCTTCACATGCATATACAACAACTTCAGCTTGAACTGGCCGAGGCACGAGAGAGGAACACATACTCAGATAAGTCGCATATTTCTCCACCAAATACAAAGGATGTTTCCCAAATGGGGCAGAGCAATGGCGGCCAACTGGAAATTAGTGGAAGTAGTTCAACTGATGGTAGTTTTGGCTTGCCGAATGGTAATGGAGATAATGCCTCTTTTGTCTCTGTGGGGAATGCATCAGTTCAGGTGAATTATGCTGCGGTTATCTTCTAAATCATGTATAGGAAATTGGTAAATGATAATCATCTAGAGTTGCTATAGATGAAAATTTTATTATATTTTCATTCAAAATGATCATTTAAGGGGCACTATAAATCCTTGTAAAAGTTTGGCTATAAAAAGTTATCCGTTGGTGGAAATTATGATCAACACAAGGCACATACCTCATTTGGTTAGAGTTGCAGAGCTTTCTTTTATTTTCATTCTGTGGTTGAGAGAGTAATAAGAATCCTTGTCTGTGTATGACTTTGAAGCTTGGATCAAGTATATCTTTCTGAAATTTGTTGCTGTCAATAATTTTAATAGATATTCTTGGATTTAAATTGCCTTTTCCCCCACCCACCTGAAAGTCTTAGTAGGTTTTGGATCATGTTTCTTTCATTCGATATGCTAATATGATCTCAGTTTTGTTGGATGTTCCCAGGTTGATCATGCCCAGGGTGTTCCGATTGCTGGATCCTCCCTGCTGCCAATGCCAACCTACCTACCCCATGGGCAGGTGACTGCTTTGCATCCTTATGTAATGCATCAGCAAGGTGTTCCACATTCTCTACCGTCACATATTGGACCTTTCCATTCAGTGCCAGCTGTGTCTTCTGTTCAGCAGTGGCAAAACCAACAGGTATTTGTTGAAATTTTTGTTATCCTGCCTTTTGAGGAGTAATTTCACCATTGTCGCTTATCTTTTAGTTGCTCTTGTTCTCCCCAAGGTTTTGTCAGAGGGTCCCAGCATGGCTACTAACGACCAACATCCTCCACTGCAATCTGAAGCTACCATGCTGAGATCAGATACCAGTTATGGCTATGAATCCTCTGTCAATGGACATGTTCTTCATTCAGATTACATGAATGCGAATATCAGCCAAGGACTGGAGCCTCATTCTGCTGTTTCAACACCGGACGTGGAGGGACGGGTAGGTGAAGAATGTTATTGTGTTTCTACAGCTATGTTACTGTTATTATATGTTATCTCATTCAGTTTGCTAAAATCTGTCATAGGTGCTTGAGTCAATGGATAAAGGCTACCTCTCTGAAGCTCATTCTCAACGGAGCTTGCAGCAAATTTCCTCCCAGTTTCATGAAGCTCTAAGATTGGATAATCTTGAACACAATAATGATCTGAAGGTAAATTGTGTATTTCATGCTTTTCGGTTCTGGCAAGATTGCATGATAGTTGTTTGTTTGTGCTCATCTAACAGACTTACCAGTTTTGACTAATAGAACTCAAACTATTGTCTGTAATAGGACAAGAATGTCAACTCATTACCTCATCCTCCCGCTGAAGCCCAAGGGGTTTCTTTGGAGAAAACTGGTTCAGTATCCAATGTGTCATCACCTGAAGAAGGGAATAACACTGCAACTTTCAGTGAAAATGCATCTGACTCTGCCTCTGATGTTGTTCTTACTGAATCCTTTTCTTCCACCGGACAGAAAACCATAGGCATGGTTGGGAAATCATTAGAGGCTAATCTTTTGGATGAAAGGTCATTATTGGCTTGTATTGTTCGTACAATCCCTCCTGGCTCTGGTGGTAAAATTAGGATTAGTTCAACGGTGAGAAGGATCTGAATTTTTTTCCTTTGTTTTCCTTTTGTATAGGTTAATGTAGGTTGCTTACTTGGATCATTATGTCTTATGTATGTTTGATCATATCGTCAGCTTCCAAATAGACTTGGGAAGATGATTGCTCCTCTACACTGGCATGACTACAAAAGGAAGTATGGAAAGCTTGACGAGTTTGTAGCCAGCCATCCTGAAGTATGCTCTGTCTTCCTTACTGTTAAACTACTTGCACTTTACTCTAGAATATGGTTGAATAACTGCATTTTCTGTTACAGTTGTTTGTAATCGAAGGAGACTTCATTCAGCTTCGAGAAGGTGCGCAAGAAATTATAGCAGCTACAGCTGCTGTTGCCAAAGTTGCTGCTGCTGCAGCTGCTGGGCCATCTGCTTACTCATCGCTGCTGCCTTCTGTTGCTGTTACTCCAATGGCGCAAACCCACCGGTTGAAAAAACCATCATCCATTGAGTCCTCTTCTGGGAAGTCTGACGGGAGCGTATTTAAAGATTATGCGCCATCCAGATCTCAGAATCTCGGGGATAATTTATCTCAGCTGTCTGCAACACAGAACCAGCGGCCAAATGGTGTTTCTTTAAGCAATTCAGCTGTAAAGATATTGAGCAAACCTAAGGATCAGCTGGAGGTGAATGGTCTTGATGGCAAGCCTGGGCAAGCAGTGCTTTTGAGTTTTGGAAATGGAACAAGCACTGAGAAGAATGATTTTAGAAGCTCCCAGGCCAAGGGTTCAACAAATTGGAAGGCCAATCTGAATGTTGTTGGGAAACAGTCTGGAAGGTACTTGTAATCTTTACCTGTTTGTTATCTGCTTTACTTGCAGAATGGTTACGGTTGATTCATTTTCCTTTTAGAAGATAGGTAAGCAATTGTTACGTTTTCACGTTCAGACAATTACTTCTTGAGTTGGGTTTTTATTCTTGAGTTTACTACTTTTTTTGGTGGTTGATGATCATGTCGACCTTGTGGTTTTTTAAATTTATGGAGCCTGTATATTTGATTGCAGCTTTCATCTGTTAGAACAAGTTCTTTTCTTCTGCTAACATCCATAACTACTCCCTGAATCAAATTGAAGGCTTTTTTGTTGTCGACCTGATTTTTTCCACTAGCATGTGGAGTTCTTTGTTAAGGATGTATTCATCCAAACATGACTTTTGTAGCTCCAAGCAACTGTTTAATTTTATTGCAGAAGTCTAGTTGCATTCAATAAACATATTACCCACAGTTTAGAAGATTGAGTTGGACATTCAATAAACATATTACCCACAGTTTAGAAGATTGAGTTGGAAATCAAATGTGTATCATTATCTGGCTCAAACATTTCATTCCGCTCAAATTTGTTGCATTTGGCGCTTCATTTTCATCAAATTTGCAGGGCTTCATGAGGATGTGGGTGTTTGATTGAATGGCTATGTTACAAAAGAGCATCTGGGAAGTTTCACGTTTTGATGACAATAGCGGGGATGATGACAAGAGGGAGGAGGCCAACATACTCTCCTAGTTCGAATCTCCAGTTTACTCAGCATTAGACATCAGTTTAGGCATTGCACCATTATTTAAAACTTGCCTCATTCTCTCTCTGTATTTTGATATGCTGAGAAACTGTGTATTGTTCATCATCTTTTGTAATCCTGAAACTGTGAAATTGGTCGCAGAAATTTATTGCTACCTTTTTTCTCAATTAGTTTGAAAAGTTTGATCCAGATTTATAAAATTTAGTTTGATTACATCATATAATTTTAAAAAGATACTAATTTATGGATGGCTGGATTGTTAATGAACTTGGCAATTTCTGAATTCTGAATGGTTTCAGAAGCTACAGTATATGGCGTTCCTCTCAATATATTCTTTAAAAACTTTTGTTATGTATTCATTAGCAACCAAGAAAGGGTGGCAATGCATATACAACATACGGATTTCAATTTTCGAAAAAACTAGCAGCATGGAAATATAAGTTCATATGCATCTGCCCATTAGATAAAGAAAAGGAAGAACATTAAAAGTTTTTGCATGTTAGCTCAAGACACTGGTTTAGTAAAAACTGAAGTAGCATTTAGTGGTGCCCTAATGTAGATTTTCCTTGGCCATCACCAGAATTTGTGTCCATGGGATTTTGTTTACCCCCACGGCCCTCCATCAAACCACCTGAATTGGAGAGGCCGGCTTGACTGATATGATGCATTCCAGCTTGACCTTGGAATTGTTGTTGGTGCTGTTGTGCTTGTGCCTGCAAGTGGAATAGTTGCTGTTGCTGTTGCTGATCAGAACGCATGGCATTAAGCTGGAATGGTAACTTCTGAAGAGGAATGCCTCCCTGCAGCTGCTGCTGCTGCTGGAGTGCCGTGTTCTGAGCATGTTGTTGCATATAATGTCCTTCTTGAGGGTTAGAATTTGGCGGAAGCTGCAAGCCAGATAGTTTTAGAAAGACGGGATAACACACAAGTATTAAATCAAATTACCTTAAATCTACCTGGGATGGCGGTGCTGACGTTGATGGTGGCGGTTGAGCATCAGCAATCGCAGCTAGATACATCAAATTTCTCTGAAGAACAGCTTGATATCTAAGTCAATTGAACAGTAGCAAAGTGTCAATAACATCCTAACTATGACATAAGTAAAAAACTGAGCATGTCCAATTACTTCCTGGCCAATAATCCAATGCACAATTGTAATAGGACCACTACATGCGAAGAATTCTAAGTCAGATACATCCTACATCAAAGACATGCAGAATTTTATCTAGCTAAACTACTATATTATCTTACATTACTACACAACAATATTCACTTGTGACAAGAAGGCGAGAAGCTGATAAACAGTTCTAGTTCTCATCATAAATTTAAGGTTGCCTGATCCACAGCAAACTACCATGTAAGTCCTTCCTATCAAGCAGGACCATACTCTAACCAAGAAAATATACATCTAACAGGACTGTACTTTTAACCCCAAAGTTAAGGAAAATCAGTTGCAACAGTTGGCGGTATTGCAGGATAACATACTTAACATGTTGAACCGGAGAAAGCATGGCTGGAATAGAAGGAAACAGTTCAAACTTTCAACCTACTTCCCACATAACTGGATCCCATTACCGCAGTCAAATTCACATGGTTGTTGTATTTGATTGTCCTAGTCTCCTAGAACACTACAGGGGCAGCACTAAGAAATTAGTTTCTTTAGTCATAAAAGAGTTGAGTTTAACAAATTGGACCTATCTAAACAAGCTCTGTGATATCTAAATAAATTGGACCTATCCAAACAAGCTCTATGACAGGTCCCACTATTTTTTCAGGGATATTTATACATGGTCTGTACCTCTAAACCAAAGATTGCATCTAGTTCATCCCATAACACTCAAACCTTTTTGATGAATAGTTTAAAAAATGGTAAGGCAATCTAAAACAATCACCAGACTATTACACGTCAAGAGTCAAAAAGGATTCTCATCAACACAACAAATAAAGGATAAACATGCCAGATCTTTATTATATCTCACAAGATAATGTAATGAACAACAAAACCCTTCAGAAAATAGACTGACAGCCATTCTAAGCACATCAATTTGAGATGAAATCACATCTTGGCCATCTCTGACATTAAGGCAGAAAAAGGCAGTATTACAGCCTAGAAAGCAAGAAAGATTTTCACGTCAATGGCTTTGGATACGCTTCTTATCACATACAACTAAAATAAAAGCCTACCCAAATAGCAACTACTCCCTCAGTCCCCAAATGATTGTCCTGTTCGAAATTTAATTTTTAGTTCATATTGTACTCGAAGTGAAAATTCAAACATGACAAACATTTTGAGACAGAGGTAGCAATAGAAAATCAATTGCAAAAAAACAAAAGCTGTGCATAGGTGATGAGTAACTCACTGGGCACATTCGTTAACTTTTCCAAGATTCTGATTTTCTAATATGGCCAAGATCAAATTTTTATTGTCATCCAAGCACTGCAAAACAGAGGGACAAGTCAAACCAAATTTGATTATTTTAACAACAAAGTGAATGAAAATCATAAAATCCCCAAACCGTTAAACAATTGAGAATCCATTAATATCAGCAACAACCCCGTAACAAGTAAAATCATAAAACAAAATTATAAGGGGAGGAAAACCCTTTCATAAATATTCTTGAGAAAAAATTAATCTGCATTTGGATCCGGAAATTTGGTAGCTAGAAAACAGGCGCTATACCTGTAAACAATTATTATTGAACCAAAAAATAAAAATAAAAAAAGGAAGAAGAATAAATAACCAAAGTAGATTGACGAACCTTTTGAATCTGCTCGGTGGTGATGGAGTTTGGGGGAAAGGGTAACGGGGGAGCAGGGACAGGGGAAGAGTTCAACGTCGTTGGTTGTTGCTGCATCTTTTATCCGAGTTTCAAAGAGGAAACAATACAAACAGGGAAATCCCTAAAACCCTTAAAATGGAAACTTAAACCCTAGGAGGTGGAAAGGGGGGAAGACGAAGATATGGGAGAAGAGCTAGTTGGAGATTTGGGGAAAATGATTTAGGTTTTGTTTAGTAGTGTGATTTGGGGATTTTGTTGGAATCTGTTGAATGGGCAAAACGAACGATGGATTAGTTGGGGATTACAGACGGCTGGAAAATAAAACTGGCAGACAAAGCGGCGATTGCGGGGCGGGAAATTGCAATGTTACCAATTTAGGGACAAACTACATAAGTTTATTTGTATCTAAATTTCTTCTTTATTTTGTCCAAATCACTCTTATCTCCTTTAATGGTAGTTGTAGAATCCGAATGTGTACAACTACTTTATTTGAGGTTGGAATAAAGGATGGATATAAAATTTAGGGAAAAAAAATAGTTTTTGGTCTTATTAATTAAGGTAAAATAAAATTTTTATATTTGTTAAAGTTACTCTTGATCTTTATGCTACTCAATTTATTGGACTTATATTATGAATCGGAGGTAGTAGTATGCTGTACTCCACGCCCTTATAAGTTATAAGGTGTTTTGAACATGAAAATGCATTTTAAGGTTTTATTTTCAACATGAAAAACATAATAAATGAAATGTAGAATAAACAAATAATTGAAAATGTATTTTAAAAATATTATTTCAATTAAACAAATACAATAAATGAAATTTAGAGTAATCAAAATGTTTTATAATAGTAATTGTTAAAGGAGTTTTCCCTTCAATGAAATTCAGGTGTTCAAGAACAATCCATTCCAAGTCGATTTGAGGCTACTTTTAAACCGGAGATTGACCCGCGGGTTCATAATCCCTGAACCAATGAAATGATTAGCACAAAAAAGTTTTCCTAGTTTTTTTTTTTCCCTCTTTGGTTTACACTACACATTTTGGTACAACTTTCACGCTAAATTGTAGAAAAATGGTGGGTTATATTGTATTTATCACCACAACTTGTTATTCTCACGCCACATATACTAAGTTTTGCAGGTAATTCTCTTTAAATTTCTTATGCATATACCCACTTTTGAAAAAAGCTAACTTGGAAGAGTTCATTTCTCTGTGTCTTATCTATAGAGGAGATTAGTGTAAGTTTTTGCGAACTAGATTAGAGAAGGCAAGGTTTAAGAGGCACGATTCTAATGTTGAATTTATCGTTAGTTATCAGTAAGGTTGTGTGAACCTTGCAGACAATATTTATTAACATATTAATAATTATTTATTTATTGATTAAATAATAAATTTATAAATTAATAGAATATGGTCCTAAAAATATTAATTTATTGATGTTTAACTGATTATTACTCCCTCAATTTCAAAAAATGTAAGTCACTTTAGACTTTACACGTAAACTAAGAAGACAATCATTCAATAATTAATTTTTGTGTTAAATATCTGGTTTATCCCTCATTAATTACATTGAGACTGTATACAATACTAAATAAAAATAGATTGACATTATTTATTGATTGAGGGTAAAGTTAGAAAATAGTCATTAATTTATCTTGAAATGTTAAAACGACATATATATTGAAAAATCTCTCCAATTTTAAAACGACTTACATGTCGAAATGGATGGAGTAGTACTAAACAAAATAAGAATGAAAAAATTATGAATATTTATTGAAAATGTAAATATAAAGGTAGTTTGTTTTTTCTCGAAATTTATATCTAAAGTAATAAGTTAAAAATTAAATTTATATCGTTAAAACTCGACTTTATCTCCTAGTTCTTAGAAATTAAAAATTCTATTATCAATTTTATCCTAAATTAATAAGTAATCATTTCACGTGCCTTAGTTACTGCCAATACTCAAGTTCTTTCTCGTTACTCCATTGCAAATATATGAACCAGGTGAGGAAGAAGATATAATGAAGTAGATATGATATTTATAAACAACAAATAGATAAACTTGGTAAGAAGACGAAATAATGAAGACGCTCATTGACCTTATCTTTAAACATAAACAATCCGAGATTATTAGCGCTTGCGATAATCAAGTACGAAAGAAGAACTGTGGAAAAAGAAGAAATGGACGAGAGAATATTCTGAAGAAAACAAACATATCCTGAAACAAGATGATGGAGGACAATAAAGATAAATAACAAAGTAGATCTATTTATACACTGCAACTTTGAAGCTTCATCGATATTTCTGGAATCGCGCTCCAAAAAATTTCAAAAATTTAAAAAAATCTGGTGATCTAATGGATTCTTATGGGGTTCCACTATTCTAGCGTTACTTAAAAAAAATCAAAAAATTTAAACAATTATAGCAAAACTAGATAGAGTAATTTACTCAAATATTCCTTTATATTTACAAAAAAATAAAATAAAATTAATTTGATCCACAACATTAATAATTTACTGGTTTTGTTTGTTACGTTTGTTTTTTTAAATTAATTTGATCTTTTTTTTATCATTATTTTTTGACACTTTACATTTAGCAGTTCTCAAGTTGACCAATTTTGAGTCGGGTCAATAAGGATATCTTTGGTGTTTCATAATTTTAATTTTTTGAAGATAAAAATTTCAATATTTGGCAAATAATATTAAAAATAGAATGTTACCAAATAATTAGTTGAATCATTAAAAAACTAATAAATCAATTTTTTAAATTAACTCTAAACTTATGTCTCTTAAACTAAAATTGATTCATTCATCTATTAGTATTATGTACCCATTAATCATAACAGTGTATTTTCCTTATGATACGGCTATTATCAATAGTTTTAATTAAATTCATTGAATTAAGAAGTCAACTATCATAATACATGTTTAATGTTTTTTATAAAGTATATTACACTATCCAAACTCAATTAAGGGCATAAACAAGATAATCGGCAACAACACCACCACATTCTCTCAATCGATAAACTTAAATGGTAAATTGAATATACCGTGATTTGTAATGCCAATTCCATTGTCGATAATTGTGAGGGTACCGTTGGCTTCTACATCCAAATCTATGTGGAGCAGAGACTTCGAGATAGGGTTGATCTTGTCGAAGATTTCACCCAAAGCACGAGATGAATTATCGATGAGACTAATTAGGAACGAGTCGCAATCGGTGGCTTGGGAAATGGACCGAATACGCTATTGGACCTTGGACTTAAACGCAAACCATCCAAGATCATCATTGGCGCCCGCCATTATGAAAGAGAAATCGTGAAAATATAGGGGAAAAAATATATTCTAGAACTAAGTCGAGCAAATTGGGGGATAAGGAAGAAGAAATAATTGATCTAGATATTTCTGGTATTTATACACTGACAAATTGAAGCTTCGTTGATGTTTCTGGAATCGCCGCCAAAAATTTTTTCAAAGATTTGAAAACCTCCAAAAATTTAAACAAATAGAATAAACTACATAGAGTAATTTACTCAAAATAGTCTTTTATATTTATCAAAAAAATTTAACTTTTGTCCATAATATTAATAATTCACTAGTTTGGTCCATTATATTTGTATTTTCAATTAATTTATTTTTTTAAAAAATTTTTATTATGCCAATTTACATTTTGGACTTTGTAAGTTTTCAAGTCAATATGGGTATTTTTTATTTTTTATATTTTTAATTTTTTGAAGATAAATTTTTTTAAAAAAATTGATAAAATAATATTTATAATAGTATATTACCGAATAATTAGTTAAATTATTAAAAAACTAATATATCATTTTTTTAAAAATTTAATAACACCCGTAACTTATATCTCTTAAACTGAAATTGATTCATCGATTTATTTGTATTATGTACTCATTAATCATAATAGTTTATTTTCCTTATGATACGGCTATTATCAATAGTTTTAATTAAATTTATTGAATTAATGAGTCAACCGTCATAATACATGTTTAATGTTTTTCTAAAGTATATTACAGTATCTAAATAATAAAATAATGTCCGGACATAATACTAATATATGTGATCATTATGTGTTAGATGTACCCTGATTTAGGGGAAATGTATGAGAAGTTCGAGGCACCTCCATTAAAAAAAAAAGTCATAAATTTTTTTTTGGTAGGTTAATTGTTTGGGGGAACTTGTTTAATATGGAAAAAAAAGTGGTGAAAACTATAAAATAAAAAACTTTAGAAGCAAAAACATTTTGCTATTGAATATTCTGGGAGGCTACTGAACGCCTTAATTTTTTCATTTGAACGCCTTAAAAGATCTTAAAAAAACTATTTTGCCCTTACATACATTTTTTTTTTTTTTTAAAAAAGGGAGGAGGCGAGGGGGCATTACACTAGCCGTGAAACGGCTGGCGCAGGAGAAATGCGCCACCCTTTAAAGGGTGGCGCACAATTTTCTTGCCTCCCAATTAGGGGAGGCGAGAAGGAATGTTACCCCCAAAATAGGGGTCGCTCACAAATCTGGCGCCACCCCCCTCGGTTTGGCGAGCGTTTTGCTCGCCAAACCACGCTCGCCAAACCGAAATTACTTTTTTTTTTTAATTTTTTCTATTTTTAATTTAATTAATTAATTATTTAATTTATTTAAGTTTATTTTTTATTTATCTATTTGGTGGTTGAACAAATAATTTTAACTTAAATATTTTGAGTTAAATTTTTTTTATTCAATTTAAAATTATTTGTTCAACCGCCAAATAGATAAATAATTATTTTGAGTTAAAATTTTTTTATTTAAGTTAAAATTATTTGTTCAACCGCCAATAAATAAATAAAAAATAAACTTAAATTAAAATTATTTGTTCAACCGCCAAATTATTTAAGTTAAAATTTTTATTTAACTTATGATTTTACTACCAAAAAAATTAATTATTTATCATCGGTGCATCTAGCCGTCCTGAAAATATTTTTTTGGAAAAAGATATAAAATATTTCCATTCTTTTTAAGTTAAAATAATTTTAACTCAAAATAATTTTAAATAAAGGTATTGTATATTTATTCCATGTTTTTTAATTTTTCATTTAAACGTATTTAATATTTTATATTTTTTTCCAAAAAAATATTTCCAGGACGGCTAGATGCACCGATGATAAATAATTAATTTTTTTGGTATTAAATACATAAGTTTTATTTTTTTAAATGATAATTTTTTTTTTTACGTTTAAAAAATTTTACATAACTAAATGATAAATTATTATAAAAATTTACTATGTAATTAAGCAACATTCTCCAAATATTTAAGTTAAAATTATTTGTTTATTCACCAAACAAATAAATAAAAAAATAAACTTTAATAAATAAATAAATTAAATACATACATGAATTAAATAAATTAAATAAATACATGAATTAAATAAATTCATTAAACTAATAATTAAAATAAATAAAAAAAATTAATTAAATATATTAAAAATAATAAATAAATAAATAAATAAATAAATAAATAATTTTAAAAAAAGGTAATTAAGGTGGGTGTTGGTCAGCACAAATGTGGCACCCAGAAGGGCGCCACACCTTCGCCTTGCGGCGAAGGTTTTCTCGCCTCCCTTTAGAGGGAGGCGAGATTATTTCGCCCCCTTTGGCGAAGGTTTTCTCGCCTTCCTTTAGAGGGAGGCGAGATTATTTCGCGCTTATTTTCCCTCGCCATACTTTTTTTATGTAATTCTATTTTACAGGGGTGTGTACGTCTTTTTAAGGCGTTCAAATGAAAAAATTAGGGCGCTCAATAGCACGACCCTTGAATATTTACTTCTGTATTCCATGAGCAAGGGGAAAAGAAAGAATTATGCGGTCAAAAAATTGGTGATATGGAATGTAACATTAATTAATTTATCAAATATGTACCAACAAAAAATAATAATTTATTAAATCACCTTGTGACAAGTGGAGTACAAATACAGTAATTTTCATTGATTTCCTTGTTGCGCCTAAATGAGAAAAGAAAAAAAAAAAAAAAGGGGTGAAGAAAATGTAATACAAAGTGAGTTTGGCAACTGGGATTGACTTGACTTGCAAACTCTGCCACCCTATATTGCTACATTTGTCGGCGGGGGTTCGTTGATCAGTTGAAATCAAAATGAGCTCCCAATCCCTCAAGTCAATCAGATCAGTCTCCGTCGCCGGCCGTTCATCTACAGTCATGGCTTCCTCCTCCTTCATCTCCACCCTTTTACTCATCCTCCTAATTGCCCAAACTTCTCTTGCAGAGATTCGTCACACCGAGATCCGATCCGATTCCCGAGCAACCATCCCCTTCGATGAATTCGGGTTCACCCACTCCGGCCGTCTCAACCTCACCGTCACCAACCTCTCCTTCTCCAAAACCCCGCCGGACTTCTCCCTACTGGGCTTCTACCTCTGCACTCGTGACTCCTGGGCCCGAGTCCTCGAGCAAATCCAAGACGGCGACATCCAGTGTCCTCTCCAGTCCGAACACATCAAGCCCGTTTACAAGTTCACCGAACTCCAGCAACCCGACAATAACGATCGGGCCAAAACCCGGAGCTTCGATACATCCGTCAAAGTGTCGGACCCCAACCTCTTCACGCTTCTCTTCTCCAATTGCGTGCCCGACTTAGAGGTCTCCATGGATGTCCAGTCCGTGATGTACAACTACAATCCCAAAACTGGTCAGCTTTATTACTTATCCGCCGGAAAAGCTTCTTTGCCCACCATTTATTTCTTGTTTTTCTTAGTATATCTAGTGTTGGGGGCTGTTTGGATTTACACCCTCTACGCCAACCGTTTGACTGTTTACCGGATTCATTTCTTCATGCTCACTGTCGTGATTTTGAAAGCTTTGAACTTAATCTGTGAATCCGAGGATAAATCTTACATTGAGAGGACTGGGACTGCCCATGGCTGGGATGTTGTGTTCTATGTCTTTAGCTTCTTGAAGGGTATAACTTTGTTCACATTGATTGTTCTGATTGGGACTGGATGGTCATTTTTGAAACCCTATTTGCAAGACAAAGAGAAGAAGGTTTTGATGATTGTGATCCCGTTGCAAGTTGTGGCCAATGTTGCTCAGGTCGTTATAGACGAGTCTGGCCCCTTTGGCGAATTTTATGATACTTGGAAGAAAGTTTTCTTGCTGGTTGATATAGTATGTTGTTGTGCGGTGCTGTTCCCCATTGTTTGGTCCATTAAAAATCTGCGTGAGGCGGCCAAAACTGATGGGAAGGCCGCCGTGAACTTGATGAAGTTGACTTTGTTTAGGCAGTACTACATTATTGTCATTTCCTATATATATTTCACTAGGGTTGTGGTTTACGCTTTGGAAACTATTACTTCTTACAAGTTTCAGTGGACCGGTCCGGTGGCTGCCGAGTTGGCAACATTGGCATTCTATGTGTTTACAGGGTATACTTTTAGGCCTAAGGTGCACAACCCTTATTTTGCTATTGATGATGAGGAGGAAGAAGCCGCTGCCGAGGCTCTGAAGCTTGAAGATGAGTTTGAGTTGTGATCCATGATTGACTATATATATGCAAGCTGGGATGCCCTTTTTAAAGGATAATGACAGAAACTTCTGTTGTTCTCCATGGTCAATATGTAGGAGTCTTTTTGTTCATTACATACAACCGGATTACTTTTGGTTTCACATCTTGTCTTGCTTGTCTAAATACTAGGTATGCCTCACACGAATACACTGTGGCCTTTGAGGTCCGATGCTGTCATGTGTTTCCATAGTGAATTGTTTACATTGGATGATGATAGGCTGTTATTAAAAGTAATATATGGTCATTACTCGAATTTGTGCTGTAGGAATCTGGTGTGGACAATAATTGTGAAAGAAATGAGCAGTTTAAATTTCATGTTTGCTGATGAAAGTCTTTGTTAAGTTTGTGTGGTCTTAAACAATCAATGCATGCGTGCTCTGTCATTTCCATATTTAGAGAGAGATTCGCTTCTCATTGTTTTTCAAGTTTACAGTTTCCATTTCAGAGGTAGGGTTTTGAACGGTTGAAGTTGGGTGTCTTGATGCATTCTCGTGGTGTATGTACAAGAAGGAACGATTCGGGATAAAATATGCTTCTTAGTCCTACCATTTCTGTCTTTGTTGAAGAACTGGTAATGCATATTGCTTCGTGAGCCCTCCTCTGTTTTTGTGTGAGGAAGATGCCCTAGGGGAACTCTACCGCCTTTTTCAGGCCCAGACATGAGCAGCTCGATCTCATATTGTCATTCCGTGGCAGCATCGTGCCATCGAAGATCCTACTCGAGCACTCCGCCCAAACCAGATTCTCCAATCTCCATAAAGAGACCCTTGTGTATGTTCTTATCAATGTCTTCCAAAACCTAACAAATTTGCTAGAGTTTTCGAAAAGAAAATTATGTTGCATCTTTAAAAACTGTAGTATCAAAGTGGTTTTTTCCCTCCTCCTTGTTCCCTTTCTTTTCTTTTTTATTTTAAGAAAGTTCAAAACGCACTTTTAGTCCTCCAGGTTTGAAAGGTAGCGAGCTTGAGTCACCATTTATTTTTAATTGACAAAAATAATTTTTTAAAATATTTTTCTCATCAATTTTAGTCAATTTAACCGAATTTTTTCAAAGAATAATTTTTTAAAATATTTTTCTCATCAATTTTAGTCAATTTAACCGAATTTTTTCAAATTTAACGGTCAATCTTTCTTTCCATTAAGTTTTTTAATTTTTTATTAATTTCCAGAATGGCGGGGCACTCTTTGACCAACAAATTTTTTATTAATCGACAGATACTCCGGTGAGAAAGCTTCGATTCTCAATTCAGTTGGGAACGCTCTTTTGAAATTGTAGAAATAATGCAGGTTGCTGCCGGCGATCAGTATTCTCCGGTCAGGCAACAGATTGGCGGTGGAATCGTACATCCGTGGCACCGTTCCCTGATTCAGGGTCTTGAAACGGAGCCCGTTTGGTTATTCGGTGAACAGGGTGTTGACGAGGATCTTCACGACGTCAAGCTCTCTCTTAACCCTCACATCCATTAATTCTCAATCCATCTTGCGAACAAAGGAATGGCTTAATAGTTCGACCCCAAGTTTATAAATTCCTTCATCGATCATGGATTTGCGAATTATTTTATAAATAATAGAAGCAGAAAACTCAAAAAGCCTCTTTAATCGGAAGAACAAAAAATGTAAACTGAGCCTAGGATTATATATGTGTGGGTCTGTGTGTGATCTGATCTAAATGGGCTCTGTTCATGGAGAGTGAAGGGTGATAAGCTCGGCGGCGGTAAGGTTAGATCCAAAAGGGGGTTGGAGAAGAAGAAATGTCGTTTAAATGGAGTGGAAAAAAACCAAAAAAAATAAAATAAAATAAAATTGGAAGCTAGGTCAAAGAGTGGGCCCCACCATTCTGGAAATTAATAAAAAATCAAAAACTTAACAGGAAGAAAGATTGGCCCGTTAAGTTTTAAAAAATTCTGTTAAATGGACAAAAATTAATGAGAAAAATATTCAAGGATATTATTTTTGTCAATTGAAAATACATGATGACTTAATCTTGTTACGCCTAAAAGTTGGAAGACAAAAAGTGTATCTGGTCCTTTAAGAAAAAACTTAGTTCAATAACTGTAAATTTGATAATTATTACTTATAAGTAGCGATAAAAAGAACGCTTAACTTTTCGTGCAAACCAAAACTAGTTGATGGTTCATCGTTTTTCTGTTATACTTTGTTCACTGATATCCCAAAGATTTTTATGATTCAAAAATGGAAACAGAATTGCATAACACTAGTGTTAATCTCAAAAATGTTTTTTTTTTCTTTTTTGGTTTTTAGTTTTGGAAACATTACTATAGCTAGATGCTTGCTCGGCGGATGTCCGGATGATCTCTTGAAAATTATATACTTTTTCATGCAATGAAACAAAATGTGTGAGAACTGAGAACACTTTATTGTGATCATCATTGAAGCTAGTATTTCTTTCCAGCATATGTAACAACATTGTGTTGAATCATTTTCTTCTGAGATAACTCTCCAACAGCAACCCTGACTAATCATGCGGCAGCTTAGAAACTATTTGAAGGGACAATTTTTTGGGTAAATTTTTCAAAACCACTTGTATGTTCAGCAACCCGTTGCTCCAGGGCCATACGGACTGGATTCTCAAGATCATCGCCTTGGAAAACTTGTCAGAAAATAGTTAAACTTGAGCCAAAGATTAATATTTTTCCTACGAAAATCTGTGTGTATACTGTCAAACATAAAAGATTGAATAGAGCTGTACAGTTTATGCAATACAAACAGGAAAAAGAGAACAATTACAGAGTTGAAATAAGCTCACAAACAAACAAAAGGAACATTTATTTTTTGTACTGGAAACATAACTCAGGGAAAGGAAAGAAATCTACAGATGAAAGGCAACTTCATTTCAACGCAACTAAACCTGAAACCCAATGACATTTATACCCCTCTTTGTTCATAGAAAAAGCAATAAACATAAAGGACTTAAAAAGAGGAGGAAATTCCTCAAGAAATACAGCATTGATCATCAGACTATAGAAACATGCTACAACCAGTGTTATCCTTAAAATGATCAGACTCTCGTCGTTAGTTAAGCTCAATTAATTAGTAGAACATCAAAGTGACTATGTCTAGAACTATGCCTAAGAGATAAGAAACATAAGTTACCTTCTTTGTATCTTGTCGGATTCAAATCAAACTTGCTCTCAGATATGACCTCCCCAAAGTCATGAAGCAAGTTTTTGGATACCTTGCGACCTGGAAATGAAAAAAAATGATAAATTCTTTTGTTTTAGTTTTTTTTGGAGTTTTAAAAAAAAAAATCAGATTGCTTACCTTGATCAACATGTGATATCATAAATCCACCACCTGTAGAGACATTGCATGTTATTAGCCCTTTAGATGGTATAATCCAACGATAATTGCACAATAATTATTCAAAACAGAAGCGAGAAAGTAAACAACTTGAACAAAAAAATCTATTTTACCTCTAATCTAATCTAATATTTCAACAGAAAACACTTCAATTCCTCCTTCATCAATGTATGAATAACACCACCAACTTCAATTTTACAACAAAACAAAACTCTGATGGATAACCCAACAACTTAGCTTTAAAGCTTCATCTGTTTCAACCTAACAACCACCACAGTTTTTTTCTAAACCACCTGTTGTGACCTCAATCTCAGTAACCAGCATCATCTTTAATACAGAAATCAAATCTTTTGAACAAAAAGAGAAAAAAACACCAAGAAGAAAACAATCTCCTTTTTTACTTTGCAGACTCGTAATCTAAAACCTTAATCAAAACCGATAATCTCATATTTCAAAACTGATGCCATGTAGGCCTATACCAAAAAAAAAAATATTTTAAAAAAAATTATAGCAAAATTGGGTATATTCTTACTATTCAAAACCACAATTCATTATCTTGATTTTAGATTTCGCAATCGATGTATTGTCCCGGATATTTGGCGGTTGTCTCTGATCCTTATTTCTCGTTTTCGCTGCTTCCACTGAAAATTGAGAATAAGACAAATATTCACCATAAGCAAACTTAACCACCAGAATTCATTACCAAAAAAAAAAAAAAAAAAAAACTGAAAGAAAATGCTACCTTGAGGAGAGGTTCCCGAACATTATCTGGGAATTCATCCACTCACATTTCATAACTATTGTTTGATCTTTGTTGGTTAGAAACCCTAATATAATTGGTGCTAATTAACCTAATTAAGAAAAAAAAACAAACACTGGTGTGCACATAAAAATACCAACCCTTATTTTCGAATACAACTACAGTACTTCAAAAAGGGGAAAAATACTTTAAGTAATGAGGTTTCAGAATTCTTGGTATGTGTAATCTGGTATGCACTCACAGGCAAATCAGAATCCAAATCAACCAATGGTGGTATAGTAATCAAGTTATTCACCAGTGAACAAAGATTTCATTGATCGAGCCAAAGAATGAAAATTTACCAAGATAGTTCAGATGCCATATCATTAGCAGCAGCCTGAAGAATACTTCCTCTGAGCCAAAGAGAATCCAAAAAGACTAAAATCATAAAGATAATAAACCAAGACCAAAATAACTAACGCCAAAATAAAGTAAATACTTTTAGAACTCTAGGGATGATTTAGACATAGGAAATCAACCTTCCCCAATTTCAATTTACCTTAATAAAGCAAAGATTAAAAAAAACAAAACACGTTAACACTTACTCAACCATCATCATTCATCAACCCTTTCTCTGTTTCATAAAAAATGAAATAATGAAACCCAAGAAAAGAATTACCTTGGAAATTAGAGACGGTTGGGTCTGCTCTCATCTGTATCTGAACGGCTTTGTCGAAGCCTTTGAACAGCCTCTTTAACGATTCCGTGATCGACGCGAATCAATGGAGTTGTGCTTCAGAACTCCGCAGATTGGATTCTTTTATTTCTACTGAAGTCGGCTTCGAACTGATCTCCGTCACAGATTGGAAGGTCACTCCAAGAACACCAAAAAATTAAAATCCTTGAGTAAAAAAAACAAAGACATAAACTTTATTAAAATGCATGAACGTCCAGATCTATCTCTAATTCAGAATCTAAAAACAAATTTTAATTAAATATTTTCCCAGAGACAAAAAGAAAGAACAATTCTCTCACAAAATAACACCAAAGCACAAAAGTATTGAAACCGCCGTCACGAACCTGTAATTCCTCGGCATGTGCTCCCCGCCGGTCAGGTCTGAACTATTGTGTCGAAACTTTTTGATCATGGAAGGCTTTAAATCACACACTTTGCCAAGCCGAGGTTGGATTGGGAAAAAAAATAGAAGAAATTTTAAAGTGGCTGATTGAAGGGATCATCTTGTTGCTTTTGATGTCAACATTGAGATTGAATTTTTTTGAAATCGGGAAATTTGAATCGTGTGGATTGAGAGAGCCCGATGATTCGAGTGATAAATTCTTTTTGAACTTTGATTTTATTAATTGAATGAATGGAGAAGATAATGGGGGAAATTATCCTCTGCTATAATTGGGAACGTGAGCGAAAATTGGGTTAAGTATTACTCTAATAGTGGTGCAGAATACAGATTGATATATTCTGTAATTCAGCAAATTATATGAAAAGTCTTCGGAAATAGCATGGAATTGCGTTTAACCACCAGTTATTGTGGTAGAAAATATGGATTCCTTGTTTATCTTTTTTTTTTTTTTTTCCATTTAAACTGGCTGGGTTTTATCCCTTTCACCCTATTAAAGCAGAAGACATGAAACTTATGTGGCAACTACGTATGCATCTGTTTTGGCTCCAATGCATCATATTTCAGATTTCAGAAGTCTTTTTGACACTTGTAAATCTCTTTTAATTAGAAACTATATAATTTTTTTTTAAAAAAAACACACGTTTTACTACAAATAAGGATCAGTTACATTTCAAACGAATGAATATATTAATTCAAATGTCCAATCGTATAGTTTTGCAGGCTTAATATAAACAAAAAATAAAAATACCTAAATTCAACAATTAATAATAATGCCTTATAAACTAATTATTTATTATTCCCTTATAACCTCAGATTTATAGGTACTCCCTCCGTCCCATAATTATTGTCCAATTTGTCCAAAAAATTTTGTCCCAAAATTATTGTCCAATTTGACTTTTAATGGATCAAGTTACA